GTGATAAATATGAAATAAGAACAAATCCACAATTAATGACTATTCCAAAAGGAAAGGCACTTGAATTTGAAGTGTTTATTAAACCATTATGCAGTTGTTTAGTTGAAGATATTATTAAGTTATTTTCATTGGATATGAAGAAAGGAACAACAATTGAATCTAATATCAAAATTAAAGCAGAAACAGAACTATCAACACGACTTGATCCAGATGAATTAAAAGAAGAAAAGAAAATAGGAGAAGGATCATTTGGAATCGTATATATAGGAGAATTTAGAGGAAATAAAGTAGCAATTAAGAAAATGAAAGAAAGTGATAAACAACAGTCATCACTTGATGAGTTTGAAAAAGAAGTTGGGATGTTAGATAAATTTCGAAGTGAATATATTATTCATTTTTATGGAGCAGTATTTATTCCTAATAAAATATGTATGGTAACAGAATTTGCAGAATTTGGTTCGTTAAGTGTTTTAATTAAGAAAAGAGATATAAGTCAAGTGTCTATGAAATTAAGAATCAAGTTCATGATAAATGCAGCGAAAGGAATTTCATATCTTCATTCAAATGGAATATTACATCGAGATATTAAACCAGATAATTTTCTTGTTGTATCACTTAATGATGACGTTGAAGTTAATTGTAAATTAACAGATTTTGGAGCATCAAGAAACATTAATATGATGATGACAAATATGACGTTCACTAAAGGAATAGGAACTCCTGTTTATATGGCACCAGAAATATTAAATAAGATTAGATATAAAAAATCAGCTGATATTTACTCATTTGCAATTACAATGTATGAATGTTTTGGATGGTGTGCGGCATATCCAAAATCGTTGTTTCAGTTTCCATGGTCTATTGCTGATTTTGTGACTCAAGGAAAAAGAAGATCAAAAGCTGAGGCAATGACAGATGAACAATACGATTTAATAGATGAATGTTGGAAACAAAACCCAGATGAAAGAATACCAATTGAAGTAATAGTAGCTAAATTAGAAGAGTTATAAATTGACATAAATTTTTTTATAATTTAAAGAGTAAATGATTTGCAAAACAGAAATATCATTTATTATTCTGTTTATATTTAAAAAAAAGTAATTAAATTTATTCTATTCTTATTTGTTATTAAATTTACTTTATAACTATTATAAAATAATTAATTCAACAACTTTACAAAATTTAAAAATAATTTAAGTTATTTTAAAAGAATGAATTAAATCACAATTTTGTTGATATAGTAATTTAACTTCCTTATTCATAAACAATCATAATGTGAACATAAACAAGAACTATTAAGCAAATGATGAACAAAAATTTTCATCAATACTAGAGTCATTACTTTTCCAATTTTGTTGAGTAAAGCCAGTGTCAAAAAAAAGTACTTGATAATCATTACTTTTTGGTAAAAAATGAATTTCACTTGAAAGAATTGGCTCTGGTTCAGTACTTATTTCATTACGTTTAGTGAAATAAGTTTCTATATCCATAGGTGTAATTTCATTTATAACATTTTTATTTTCTTTAGGTTCTTCTTTGATTTTAATTTCATTTTCTTCTTTAAGTGAGTCAATAGCTTCAGTAACAACACTAGTTTTTTCTCCTTGTTCTGAAACTTCTTTAATTATTTCAACAAGAATTTCATCTTTCCCTTTGATTTCAACAGAAATTGTATTTTTATCAAATCGTTTATAAACCTCTTCATTTACTCTTTTTCCAATTTCAGTGATTTGTAGTAATTTTAATGACATTTTACCTGATACACCACATATTTTATTCATTTTAGTTGTGTATTTAGTAGGTTTTGTTGATCTCTTTTTAAATTCATAACCAAACGAAAGACATCTATCTAATATCCAATTAAAACTAATAGACATCTTATTTGCATTACGATGTCTTTTTATTTGTTTTAAACGTTCCATGGATACTCCATTTGTAGAAGCTTTAGTAATTGAAGCAATAGAATTAATATCACTTGGAACAAGATGAGTATATCCAGACTCTTTTAGTTCTTCAATAACAAATAAATTACAGTAATTGTTAACATCATTTTCGTATTCAATAATTTCACCAGAAGGGAGTGTTAAACTTTCAATCAGAAAAAGTTGCAACGTTTTCTGAGATCGTCTTTCAGGTTTTTTTACTTTAAATCCAATACCTTCATTGTTCAATAATGAAAGAATAAAAGCTTGTTGAATAGCTTCGAATGACTTTGAGCAACGTTTTAGTTCTTTGAGAGTTGCAATTGCTTTGTGACGTACAGTTTTTTCCATTATAATCTAATATTTTTAAGTAAGTATCTTTTATTGTTGTGAACTTATCCTCTTTGTCATCTAATAATATTTAATGTAAAAAGATATAATTGAATAATTAATTTTTCCTGTTATTTCCCGATTCAATAAAGATTCATATAAATAAGATGTAAGAATTACAACGAACATAAAAAGCTAATAATTCTTTTTTTTTCTTTTCTATTCTTTTTTTTACTAGAAATTTAATCTTGTTCTCATACGAGAATTATGAGTTTTCCTTTGACGTCTATGAATAATTTTATTGTTTTTTTTATATATTTAATACTTTCTTTTCAAAAGTCTTTATTCTAAAAATAATATTTAAAGAAAAACATAAAATAAAAAATAAAAAGATATTATTGATTTAAAAATGGAAAACAAAAATACGAATTATTGTTATTAGAACCAATAATCAGTATTTAATCTTAAGGATATAGATTACAAAATAAAAACCATCTTAATTCTGCACTTATTATTTAATTTTGTCTTTACGAAGAATGGGTGAGTGAGTATCAAAAAAGATGAGTCTTTAAAGTTAAGGAGTGATTAAAAAAAAAAAAAAGAAAAGGAATTTAGAAGATACTAAAACCAAAAAAAAAGAATTTAGGTTTTAATTTTGCTTTTTAAAAACTCTATTAATTCACAGTATAAAATGGCAATGCCATCAACGAAACAACCTTCTAGTATTGACAATTCTCTAGAAATAGAAAAAACAACTAATTCTTTCACGATAGAACATAAAACAACAACAAGTTTACAAGAAAAAAAGAAAGAAAGAGTAGCTTGTTCATTAAGAAAAGAAAGAACCACTTTTTCATTACAACAAGCGTTGTGTATAGCATTACTAAATGAGTTTTGTACTGAAACATTAATTCATCCAATTAAACAAGCAACAGTGACAAACCAATTCTTTCGAGTAGGAACATTAGAATTTTCAAATAATCAAGTCATTGATGTATATAAAAAAGTTAAAGAAAGATGTTTACAAATATATGAAGAATATATTTCAAATGGTGTTAGTTCAAAAACTGCTATAAGAAGAGGACAAAATAATAGAAAAATAGAAGAAATTCATTTCTATCAATCAATACTTCAATCATTTGGTTATAAATTCATTTTTTATAAGAACCCTAATAAGAAAAAAATTCATTACCTTAATACTATTAAAGAAGTTTGGAGAGATGGTTTACAGATTCTTAATGATTCTCAAGTTAAAATTTTCTCAAAACAAGTTCATTCTTATTTTTCTTCTTTACAAAGTACTAATAAAGAAACTTGTGTTGTAGAAAAAAATGATAAATCTATTGTTAAATATATTGTTCAATTTCTTTAGTTTAATGAAATTGTTTCATTTTCATATATTAAACAGCATCTTTCTTTTTTTCCAATTCTTACTAAATATTCTTTCTTATCTCTTTATAAAATTTTCTTTTATAATAAAAACGTAAAAGATTTCATTTATTATAAACTAGCATCGATTAATTTCACTTTACTGTTTTTAACTTTATTGTTGTATTGTTCATCTTTGGCTAATGACACATTATCAAATAGATTTAGTGATATTAAAAAAGTATTATCTTTTATACAACAAAAATTCACTCAACCCAATTCCCTTTTTTTTTAAATATATTATTCAATATTTTATTAAAATCATATATATTTAAAAAGAGATTGAGGAGATTATGGAACTGTGGTGGTTATCTTTCATTTGTTATCTTTTTTCTCTGTTTTTATGAAATGAATGGTTTTATATTTCTTTTTAATGATCATGATTTTTGTAACACCTAACCTTAACGTAAAACAATTAGCTTTGTTTATTTTCCTCTTAAAATATTAACAAGATGTAAAGTGTATAAAAGATGTCATTAATTTTCTTTGATTTTATCAAAGTAAATTGTTTAGTAAATGTGGTAGCGAATTGTTTCATTTTAAATATATATTTATGAAATACTTTTTTTGATTAAAGTTACTTTGTTTTGGTTAAGTTCCAGAAATTGATCAAATCTGTAATAAGATGAAAAAAATTGGTTTCAAAAAGTAATATTAGAATAAGTATATTATTGACCTATTAATTCAAAAATATAAGGTAAACTCTT